GATTCAGTGACTGGGATAATTGGGATGGGAGTGTCAGAGAGACAGAGTGGAGTTTAGGGCTGTTGTACATAGGGTCGCTATGAGTTGCAAGCGACTCGAAGGCATATAACAACAACATGAGAACATTGAAAAATTAAATTCTGAAATGTATATAAATAACTTCAAGAAAAGGGAAAAACAGATTTCTTGTGGTCTTCCATTGTTTGAACCAATTTCCTTCTCCGAAATCACTACTGTCAATTTAATTCTGACTCACAGAGCCGGCAGGACACAGTAAGTAGACGTATCCCATAAGACTTACAAGGATGTAAATCTAGGGAAGCTGATTTCCCCACCATTCTCTCATGGAGTAGCTACTCCGTAGGCCTCTTCCTTCATCTACTACCTACCATAAATGTAAATCTGTGCTCTTGTCTGTGAAAGTCTGTGTCTGAAGTGAAAAAGAAATACAGAATAATTTTCTATACATAATCGTCAGAAAAACTTAGGTTCCTATTTCCACAGCTGAAGCATGTACTTGAGGTATATTTAAAACATTCTTGAAGAAAATAAGCATGGTTTCTCACTAAATATTATTTAAGCTTTTTCATTCAAAGGGTACATTATAAAACAAAGCTTCAATTAAGAAACTCTTTGGGAGCTCTGGTGGCCTAGTGGCAAGATACTGCACTGCAGTCCCAGAGGTGCGCAGTTCAAAATCCACCAGATGCTGTGCTGGAGAAAGAGGGACAATCTCCTCCTGTACCAGTCAGATCCGATTTGACGGTACACACACAAAAAATAATTTTTAAAATTAAAAAAAAGAAACTCTTTTAAGAAAAGGTAATACAATTTGGCTTGCTATTTGATAATGGACTCCCAAGACAGTGATCTTATTTTTCTGTGTCTTGGGAGTTTCCCCTCTCTCTCTCACACACACATACTCCCTCCTCCCCATTCACTGAAACTGAAAATACATGGAGTGATTTTGTGTTACAACAAAGAGTTTGGGAGTTACCAGTTTTCAAATCAGTTTTGTCCTAGAAACAATCTGAGAAAGTAGAAATCTTTCTCCATTACTCACTCATTGCTGCTGGGTCAGACCTGACTCCTGACTGACCATCCAGTGGGTTTACGGAGCTTGTAGATCACAGGAAAGGAGACTGCCCTCCTTTCTCCTGTGGAGCAGCTAGTGGATTTGAACCATCAGAGGGGCACCACCTATGGGTTAGCAGCACCAACTCCCTATACACTATGTCACCAGAGCACTATATGTCCTTGAAAACATGTTTCTTGTAAAATTACAGAAATATAACTAGCTTACAATCTTTATTTGGTATTTTTAAAATGTCAAAAAGATTCTGGAACTAAAATTTTTCTTATTTTTAAAAATGTTTTGGCTAATGGGGTACTCCCTAAGCCATATATGGTGGTCTGGTGGCCTAGTAGTAAGGAGCTGTACTTCAATCTCAAAGGAACATGGTTCAAATGTGCTCGAGAGAAGGATGGGCAGTCTCCTCTCATGCAATCTACTGACTCTGAAAACCCACTGGAGGGTCATCTGTGAGTCAGTTCCAACTCACCACAACTGCCATATATGGCTCCTGAGCCATTTGCAATGTAGCTAGTATGATCTGGGAACTGTTAAACAAAAACTAGATTTCAAATACGTGAGAAAAGAATGTAGCTATCTCTTCTAAGTTATACTAAATATACTTAATATATTTATATTCTACATATTGATTAAATGCTGAAACAATAATTTGAGATTAACTGGTTAAATGTTGAACTGTTTTTCATCTTTCTTTTTGTCTTTGACTATTAAGAAAATTTAAAATTATACATATGCAGCTTATATTGTATTTCCCCTAAACAGCACTGGCTTAGCCTTCTATCAGCATACATCTCTTCAGAGAGCATGGAATAAACCAATTACTAAAAATAACACACAACTGAATAAAAAAAAAAGGAAAGAAAATCTGAAAGATTAAAAGTGTTCATTTAATCTTTAAATGAGCTCTTAGAAAAATTCATGTATTAGAAATTTAACACAGATCACTGGACAAACATAAGGGTCTGAGTAATACAGAAAACAAAATGTGAAACAACTAAGTATATGTAGCTCTTTCGTTCAGATGGTATTCACTACACAGTAATAAATGACTGCATGAAGGAAATAGTAATGAAGATGACAATTACTATTTGAAAACAAAGAATCTTACTTAAATCACAACTTGCACTGTGGTGCAGGTGGTTCCAACTCATAGCAACCCTGCAATAGGTTTCTGAAGCTGTAAATTTTAACAGAAGGAGACAGCCCATGTCTCCACCAAGCAGCAGCAATAGGTGGATTCAAAAGGCTGGTGACTCAGCCATGGGTTTAGCCCTAGAGACTATACCATCAGAGCTCCCCAAATCATGGTCATTGTCATACAAATCCATCTTCTTTACCAGACAGCCTTAGGCTGTTAAGAATCTGCAAAATTAAACACTAAATAAAACCAGAAATGTAATTAGGAATGCATGATACCACAGAAATTCATGCAAAAGAATTCTGGAATTTAGCATTCCTCTTGCTGATACAAGACAGGAACACTCCTATCTGGGTGTGCATGGACCATTCCCTGGAAACTTTCAGCCTGAATACAACACACATGAATGATTTTATAAAACACTACCTATACGAATAACTGTACAAAATCAATAAAAAAGAAAAAAAAACAATCAGGAAGGGAGAACATGACATATAATCAGCTTAGAAGCAATATTTAGCAGCAATAGTAGTGACAAAAAATAAAATGTATTAAGATCAGGGAACAAAATAGAACATAAATCAATAACAAAATTGAGAACTTAAATACAGTGGAAATAATAGCAAATATAAAATTATGACTCCAGGGGGAGAAAAAGTAGAAACACACAAAGTTTGGTAGAAAGATCAATAGAAAGAAATAGCCCCAATATAAAGAATTTCCTTTCTCTATTAACTGTTTGTCTTTAGAGAGTAAAAATAAAATTTAAAAGAAACACTTAAAAATTTAAAGAATGTAAGTATCTGAACCAAAACTAAATGTGTGGTTTTTACTTCCACTGCATAAACTTTTCCAGAGTCAGAAATACATGTATTTCTGAAATAGATAATTACAAAATTCTTACACTTGTTAATGTGCCGTCGAGTTGCTTGCGACCCTATGTACAACAGCCCTAAACTCTGCTCTATCCTGTGCCAATCGCACAGTCTCCAACACATTCACCCCAGTCACTGAATCAATCCACTTCATAGAGGGTCTTCCCCTCCTGCACTCTCCCTCTACCCTCCCAAGCATGGTGTCCTTCTCCAAGGACTGGTCCTTCCTTATAACAGGTCCAAAGTATGTCAGACGAAGCCTCAGAAGGAGAAAAACTGGTTTGGTAAGAACAATCCCTCTTGAAAGAACAGAAGACAAATTGTAAGGAACTTATTTAAAATTACAGGAAGTATAAATAACAGTTTTAAAATTTAAACACACTTTGAACAATTATGACTCATTGGGTCTCCACTGGGTTTCTGAAGCTGTACATCTTAGGAAGAGCTTTCTCCTGTAGAAGGGCTGATGAATTAAAATGGTTGACTGTCTAACATTTAATCTATCAAGCCACCTGGGTTTGACAGACATTTCTGTCCCCTGCATACTACCTTTCACTCATTGACTCACTCACCCACATTCGACCTGTTCCAATTCATAGTAACCCTTCACTGGGCTCCAAGTAAATTGCAAGAAAAAAAACTTTCCATTTTTCCCTTGTGAAGTACCTAGTGGATTCAAACCACCAGACACGCATTCTTCAGATTAACAATGTTATTCATTATGGACAACACAAGAGCTATCCTGCATATATCTTTTACCATAGTGAAATAGCCAAATTCCATATAGCACTAAATATTTCATACTGGAGAATGAAAATAGATTGACCACATTTTGGGAAGGCTAACTTTTTTATATTAAAGTTACATTTTTCTATTTAATGAACCTTACAATTTCAAAATTGGATGATTAATGTATAAATTCTATTTAAAGATTATATTATTTTTTTAATAAAAAGAAAACTTTACTCATTATCTAATTTAAGCAACTTCAATTAGAGTCTTAGAAACCCCATTTTATAAACATTTCAGAAAGCAGTGATTTTGTAGACTAACAAATACGGAACAATAGTTATCTTCATTTTGCCATACACTGGATCTTAAATTCTACTATAAAAGAAAAGGAATTTAGCTTTAAAGAATCCCCAAACACAGAAAGAGTTCCTTTGACTTCCTCAAGATCAATAATAGAATGATTTTTCCTTAAACTGTTAACATAAATCCTAACTTGGAAAAAAAAATCCCATGAAAACTAGCAATTAGTAGAAAAACAAAAATGAAAAGTCTACATAACCAAAAATTCCCTTGATAAATGTAAATGTTTGTAAGATTGAAAATAAATACATGGAATCATTAAAGACTGGTTACCAAGGTTAACAGTAAAAATTAAGTCGATGACACATTTAAAGTTGAGTGAAGTAAAAAGCAAAATAGAGTAAAAAGTTCATCAAATATTGTAATTAATTATGCTAAATATTATAATTAGCTCTACAAAGCAAAATGGTTATAAATGACTGAATGAAAAACCAATATGGTTTGTAAACATTCAAATCACAAAATATATGGAATGACTAATATCAGTAAACATGAAACAGGAATAATAAATATTAGTGATATGATTTTAAAAAGATCTGTTATTAACGTGACATTGAACTAAAAGTGTTTAGAGAGTACTGCTATAGTAAACTATAATCAAACAGGACACATTTTATGATCCAATGAATTATCAGTTCCAAGTAAGTTAATTTCAAGTCTAATCAACTGCATTCTTCATGCACAGCATTAAAAGAAATAATCAACACACATTATAAATCAGCACTTTGAGTCAAAGCAGTACATATGATTTGATATAATTGCTCCAACACCTTTTCTGTCAACATCATTAAAATTACCCTACCTGTTTAGACCGAGGTCTACCAGGAGAAAATTTTCTTTTGGTAATAGCTGGTTTACCCATACCGATTTTTGGAGTGACTGAGAAGTAAGTTGTTGACATAATGTTTCCAGCAGAAGAACTGAGAGATGAAGGGTAACTATGAAGCATATCTTGTGAAGGCAAATCTGAAGAAAGAGTTTGAGGGGAAGACATATTTGCCTTGTTTGTGTCTACTACTGATGAAAAAGATGAATCTGTTTCAGATGCTAACTTTAAAGATGTGTCTCCTTGGCACGAACTAACTTTTACACAACCCTCAGTTGCAGAAGTCAATTCAAATTCCATAGGCCCAGTGGAGGACTGAGAATTTTCTTTCTGTTCCACTTGTAAGCTTTCTGTGGGCAGCTGTTCTTTAGGACATAAAGAAGTACTTTCCTCACATGGAGACACTAACGTTAATTTTGACGGCTGTGATCCTTCTGGCGATACCACCATTTTAGGTTCCTGTGACAAGTGAGGTTTCTCGCTTTGCACAATGTCCTGGTGTCCAATGGCTTCAACATTTTCAGTAACTTCCATTTGATTTTCATTTTGATCTTCAATAATCATATGCAGCACTTTAGAACACGTTTCCAGTTTTTCACCATCAACTTCATGAGAAATCTGATTTTCCAATTCAGGATTTACTTTCTTTTCAGATGATTCTGTAAAATTTAGAATATTATGTTAATATACATATTTTTTAAAATGTCTAAATATGACTAAAAGTAAAACCTGAGTAATATATACCATTCTTGATGCTCTAAAACTTGAATATAGTAAGCTTCAGCAGAAAATAAGGGAGTGGAGAGTTTTCTAAAAATTATTTTGGTTATCCTATATAGAATACCACCGGATCTAACAACCATTACTAGGTACCTCTCCTACAGAAATAAATATGACATAAACTGTTCATCACGGCATTTACGAGAGCCAAAAGATAAGAAAAAAACTCAAGCATCCATCAGCAGATGAATGGATTAACAAACTAAGGTACAGAAACACAATGAAATACTAATTAACACTGTGTGAAAATGAAGAATTTGTGAAATAGCTCATAATATGGGTGAATCTAGAGGACATGACACTGAATGAAATAAGCCAGTAATGAGAGGACAAATACTGTGTGAGTCCATTAGTATAAAACGTAAGTTTATATGCAGAAAAGAGACATTCTTGGATAGCTATGAGGAATGGGAAAGGAAGAGGAGCAGAGTGAAAATCAGATTATTAAGCACAGACACATAGTAAGACAGAGGGAAAAGCAATGCATATAGTAAGTAGACATCAGCATAGTAGCATTAAAGAAAAAAAAAGACAAGAAATAAACACACAAGACAGTCAACAAAGGTAAACATTACATAAATAAATCTGTACCATCAAGAATAATATTAATCTACAAGCACATGTTTAGACAGACAAGCAAGGTGAACAGATGTGGACAGTGAAAGGGACTACACTCTTAACTATACACAAGTTTAGCAGATGATTATTTCTAAAGGCTTATCTGTATATGTTTCAATGTATTTCTTAATCATAACTGATTCCCTTGAGGGAGTAATTTTCTCAGAATTAGTCTCAGATGATAACAAGATAAAACAGTAAAACAGAATCCAAGGCAATGTTTTACATCCTATTTTGGTGAGAAATGAGTAGGGTCCAAAAAGCTTGCAAGTAGAAATGAAAGGTGCTACTGCTCTTCCTGTCCAGGGCAATGAGGAACAAGTTATAGAAACAACAAAACCTTCAAGACTACACTTTTAGTTACCATTAGAACCCAGAACAAAATTCACCTTCATAGCTCAACCTGCACCCCAAAAAACAAACAGGCCTGTAAGATGAACATCAGCACCAGGGAGGCACTCACTTCTTACAAGAGTAAACAACATCAGAGTAAAGGACATCATCAGAAGGCAGGAATGACAGAGCAAGGAGGATTAACGCAAAGGAGAATCACAGGAATGAAGTGGGGGAAAGTACAGTTACAGTGTGAGTGCTTAATTAACACCATAAAATAAAATATGAATGAACATCAATTTGCTTTATAAACTTTTACTCAAATCACAATAAAACCAAGCTATACTAAAATAACCTCCTTGTTAAGCCATTACTTAAGTCAAAACTAATCATCAAGAAGGCAATTATTTGAAACAGATGAGGGAGAGAACAGTTTAAAAGTGATACATGATAGCTTATCATGATTATCACAGGAATCCAGAATTAAGATTGCACAGTAGAATCATTTGGGGGGGCAGGGTCGGGGTTGGGGGAATTGTATACCAATGAAGAAGTTTATCTTTTGCTTTTCAAAGAGAGGAGCGAACTGGGGAGAGGAGAGTAAAGAAAAAAGTACACTAATGAATGAATGAAAATCCAAAATCTCTGTAAATGTTCATTAAAATGAATAAAATTAAAAAAAAAAACACAACAAAGCAATTTTAAAATAAATCAGTCCCTGACCAGAAAATCTTCTAAAAACATGGCCTTTTAAAAGGATTGCTAGGGTTCCGCCACCAGAGACGGAGTTCAGCCTCCAGACAGGCCGGGAAAGACCCAGGAAGAGCAATAGTCAGCCATCCACCGCGGAAACCCAGAGGAGCGAAGACTACCCACCACTGTGTGACCCCCCTGCAGCCCGCACCTGTGTGACCCCCGACCAGCAGCGCCCAAGCCCCGCCCCCACCTCTTAGTGGTAGTGCCCAAGGCCTGTGCTCCTTACCCCCCTAGTCCCTTGCTTCCATGCACCTCAGC